GTATGTATGTATGTATGTATGTATGTATGTATGTATGTATGTATGTATGTATGTATGTATGTATGTATGTAACTGTTACATATCTGCCGGGCCGACACTGGCCGGGGGCGCTAACCCGCCCACATACGGGAGACCGCCAAAGCACTCCTTTGTTGAGGAGGGGCGTACCACCTTGTCCGCACACTGCACCGGGAAGTGCTAACCGCTGCACCGTAATCGTCACAGGACAGCGTCCACCTGATTGTCCATGTGCCAGCTAAGCTAGCCCCAGGCGCCTACTGTCCTCAGTCCACCGAACGCATGCTCTACAGCTGCATAATCTACCAGGGCACTCACACCGGTGCCATTGCCACCTCCTATATCCTTCGGAAGCCTGCCGCCGCCCGATCTTAGTTATCCAACCACCACCTGCTATGCAGTCTGGTCCAGGCCCTATGCAGACTCATTCCTCCACCACTGCTCTGCGGCAGCGTTGTAGTCTTCTTGGTGGCATCCCACTCCAGCCGCCCCGCGCACCAGAGGACACCATTGTCTCCAGCCTTCGACACCCCGATCTCTTTCACCCGGGGGACCAGCGGTGGGGTACGATCCCACGTCTTCCGGTTAAGTTAGTGCCGACTCTGGGGATCGAACTCCAGACCCGCCGGTTACTAACCCGGTGCTCTACCAACTTGAGCTACGCTGGTATGTATGTATGTATGTATGTATGTATGTATGTATGTATGTATGTATGTATGTATGTATGTATGTATGTATGTATGTATGTATGTATGTATGTATGTATGTATGTATGTATGTATGTATGTATGTATGTATGTATGTATGTATGTATGTATGTATGTATGTATGTATGTATGTATGTATGTATGTATGTATGTATGTATGTATGTATGTATGTATGTATGTATGTATGTATGTATGTATGTATGTATGTATGTATGTATGTATGTATGTATGTATGTATGTATGTATGTATGTATGTATGTATGTATGTATGTATGTATGTATGTATGTATGTATGTATGTATGTATGTATGTATGTATGTATGTATGTATGTATGTATGTATGTATGTATGTATGTATGTATGTATGTATGTATGTATGTATGTATGTATGTATGTATGTATGTATGTATGTATGTATGTATGTATGTATGTATGTATGTAACTGTTACATATCTGCCGGGCCGACACTGGCCGGGGGCGCTAACCCGCCCACATACGGGAGACCGCCAAAGCACTCCTTTGTTGAGGAGGGGCGTACCACCTTGTCCGCACACTGCACCGGGAAGTGCTAACCGCTGCACCGTAATCGTCACAGGACAGCGTCCACCTGATTGTCCATGTGCCAGCTAAGCTAGCCCCAGGCGCCTACTGTCCTCAGTCCACCGAACGCATGCTCTACAGCTGCGTAATCTACCAGGGCACTCACACCGGTGCCATTGCCACCTCCTATATCCTTCGGAAGCCTGCCGCCGCCCGATCTTAGTTATCCAACCACCACCTGCTATGCAGTCTGGTCCAGGCCCTATGCAGACTCATTCCTCCACCACTGCTCTGCGGCAGCGTTGTAGTCTTCTTGGTGGCATCCCACTCCAGCCGCCCCGCGCACCAGAGGACACCATTGTCTCCAGCCTTCGACACCCCGGTCTCTTTCACCCGGGGGACCAGCGGTGGGGTACGATCCCACGTCTTCCGGTTAAGTTAGTGCCGACTCTGGGGATCGAACTCCAGACCCGCCGGTTACTAACCCGGTGCTCTACCAACTTGAGCTACGCCGGTATGTATGTATGTATGTATGTATGTATGTATGTATGTATGTATGTATGTATGTATGTATGTATGTATGTATGTATGTATGTATGTATGTATGTATGTATGTATGTATGTATGTATGTATGTATGTATGTATGTATGTATGTATGTATGTATGTATGTATGTATGTATGTATGTATGTATGTATGTATGTATGTATGTATGTATGTATGTATGTATGTATGTATGTATGTATGTATGTATGTATGTATGTATGTATGTATGTATGTATGTATGTATGTATGTATGTATGTATGTATGTATGTATGTATGTATGTATGTATGTATGTATGTATGTATGTATGTATGTATGTATGTAACTGTTACATATCTGCCGGGCCGACACTGGCCGGGGGCGCTAACCCGCCCACATACGGGAGACCGCCAAAGCACTCCTTTGTTGAGGAGGGGCGTACCACCTTGTCCGCACACTGCACCGGGAAGTGCTAACCGCTGCACCGTAATCGTCACAGGACAGCGTCCACCTGATTGTCCATGTGCCAGCTAAGCTAGCCCCAGGCGCCTACTGTCCTCAGTCCACCGAACGCATGCTCTACAGCTGCGTAATCTACCAGGGCACTCACACCGGTGCCATTGCCACCTCCTATATCCTTCGGAAGCCTGCCGCCGCCCGATCTTAGTTATCCAACCACCACCTGCTATGCAGTCTGGTCCAGGCCCTATGCAGACTCATTCCTCCACCACTGCTCTGCGGCAGCGTTGTAGTCTTCTTGGTGGCATCCCACTCCAGCCGCCCCGCGCACCAGAGGACACCATTGTCTCCAGCCTTCGACACCCCGATCTCTTTCACCCGGGGGACCAGCGGTGGGGTACGATCCCACGTCTTCCGGTTAAGTTAGTGCCGACTCTGGGGATCGAACTCCAGACCCGCCGGTTACTAACCCGGTGCTCTACCAACTTGAGCTACGCCGGTATGTATGTATGTATGTATGTATGTATGTATGTATGTATGTATGTATGTATGTATGTATGTATGTATGTATGTATGTATGTATGTATGTATGTATGTATGTATGTATGTATGTATGTATGTATGTATGTATGTATGTATGTATGTATGTATGTATGTATGTATGTATGTATGTATGTATGTATGTATGTATGTATGTATGTATGTATGTATGTATGTATGTATGTATGTATGTATGTATGTATGTATGTATGTATGTATGTATGTATGTATGTATGTATGTATGTATGTATGTATGTATGTATGTATGTATGTATGTATGTATGTATGTATGTATGAATGTATGTATGTATGTATGTATGTATGTATGTATGTATGTATGTATGTATGTATGTATGTATGTATGTATGTATGTATGTATGTATGTATGTATGTATGTATGTATGTATGTATGTATGTATGTATGTATGTATGTATGTATGTATGTATGTATGTATGTATGTATGTATGTATGTATGTATGTATGTATGTATGTATGTATGTATGTATGTATGTATGTATGTATGTATGTATGTATGTAACTGTTACATATCTGCCGGGCCGACACTGGCCGGGGGCGCTAACCCGCCCACATACGGGAGACCGCCAAAGCACTCCTTTGTTGAGGAGGGGCGTACCACCTTGTCCGCACACTGCACCAGGAAGTGCTAACCGCTGCACCGTAATCGTCACAGGACAGCGTCCACCTGATTGTCCATGTGCCAGCTAAGCTAGCCCCAGGCGCCTACTGTCCTCAGTCCACCGAACGCATGCTCTACAGCTGCGTAATCTACCAGGGCACTCACACCGGTGCCATTGCCACCTCCTATATCCTTCGGAAGCCTGCCGCCGCCCGATCTTAGTTATCCAACCACCACCTGCTATGCAGTCTGGTCCAGGCCCTATGCAGACTCATTCCTCCACCACTGCTCTGCGGCAGCGTTGTAGTCTTCTTGGTGGCATCCCACTCCAGCCGCCCCGCGCACCAGAGGACACCATTGTCTCCAGCCTTCGACACCCCGATCTCTTTCACCCGGGGGACCAGCGGTGGGGTACGATCCCACGTCTTCCGGTTAAGTTAGTGCCGACTCTGGGGATCGAACTCCAGACCCGCCGGTTACTAACCCGGTGCTCTACCAACTTGAGCTACACTGGTATGTATGTATGTATGTATGTATGTATGTATGTATGTATGTATGTATGTATGTATGTATGTATGTATGTATGTATGTATGTATGTATGTATGTATGTATGTATGTATGTATGTATGTATGTATGTATGTATGTATGTATGTATGTATGTATGTATGTATGTATGTATGTATGTATGTATGTATGTATGTATGTATGTATGTATGTATGTATGTATGTATGTATGTATGTATGTATGTATGTATGTATGTATGTATGTATGTATGTATGTATGTATGTATGTATGTATGTATGTATGTATGTATGTATGTATGTATGTATGTATGTATGTATGTATGTATGTATGTATGTATGTATGTATGTATGTATGTATGTATGTATGTATGTATGTATGTATGTATGTATGTATGTATGTATGTATGTATGTATGTATGTATGTATGTATGTATGTATGTATGTATGTATGTATGTATGTATGTATGTATGTATGTATGTATGTATGTATGTATGTATGTATGTAACTGTTACATATCTGCCGGGCCGACACTGGCCGGGGGCGCTAACCCGCCCACATACGGGAGACCGCCAAAGCACTCCTTTGTTGAGGAGGGGCGTACCACCTTGTCCGCACACTGCACCGGGAAGTGCTAACCGCTGCACCGTAATCGTCACAGGACAGCGTCCACCTGATTGTCCATGTGCCAGCTAAGCTAGCCCCAGGCGCCTACTGTCCTCAGTCCACCGAACGCATGCTCTACAGCTGCGTAATCTACCAGGGCACTCACACCGGTGCCATTGCCACCTCCTATATCCTTCGGAAGCCTGCCGCCGCCCGATCTTAGTTATCCAACCACCACCTGCTATGCAGTCTGGTCCAGGCCCTATGCAGACTCATTCCTCCACCACTGCTCTGCGGCAGCGTTGTAGTCTTCTTGGTGGCATCCCACTCCAGCCGCCCCGCGCACCAGAGGACACCATTGTCTCCAGCCTTCGACACCCCGATCTCTTTCACCCGGGGGACCAGCGGTGGGGTACGATCCCACGTCTTCCGGTTAAGTTAGTGCCGACTCTGGGGATCGAACTCCAGACCCGCCAGTTACTAACCCGGTGCTCTACCAACTTGAGCTACGCTGGTATGTATGTATGTATGTATGTATGTATGTATGTATGTATGTATGTATGTATGTATGTATGTATGTATGTATGTATGTATGTATGTATGTATGTATGTATGTATGTATGTATGTATGTATGTATGTATGTATGTATGTATGTATGTATGTATGTATGTATGTATGTATGTATGTATGTATGTATGTATGTATGTATGTATGTATGTATGTATGTATGTATGTATGTATGTATGTATGTATGTATGTATGTATGTATGTATGTATGTATGTATGTATGTATGTATGTATGTATGTATGTATGTATGTATGTATGTATGTATGTATGTATGTATGTATGTATGTATGTATGTATGTATGTATGTATGTATGTATGTATGTATGTATGTATGTATGTATGTATGTATGTATGTATGTATGTATGTATGTATGTATGTATGTATGTATGTATGTATGTATGTATGTATGTATGTATGTATGTATGTATGTAACTGTTACATATCTGCCGGGCCGACACTGGCCGGGGGCGCTAACCCGCCCACATACGGGAGACCGCCAAAGCACTCCTTTGTTGAGGAGGGGCGTACCACCTTGTCCGCACACTGCACCGGGAAGTGCTAACCGCTGCACCGTAATCGTCACAGGACAGCGTCCACCTGATTGTCCATGTGCCAGCTAAGCTAGCCCCAGGCGCCTACTGTCCTCAGTACACCGAACGCATGCTCTACAGCTGCGTAATCTACCAGGGCACTCACACCGGTGCCATTGCCACCTCCTATATCCTTCGGAAGCCTGCCGCCGCCCAATCTTAGTTATCCAACCACCACCTGCTATGCAGTCTGGTCCAGGCCCTATGCAGACTCATTCCTCCACCACTGCTCTGCGGCAGCATTGTAGTCTTCTTGGTGGCATCCCACTCCAGCCGCCCCGCGCACCAGAGGACACCATTGTCTCCAGCCTTCGACACCCCGATCTCTTTCACCCGGGGGACCAGCGGTGGGGTACGATCCCACGTCTTCCGGTTAAGTTAGTGCCGACTCTGGGGATCGAACTCCAGACCCGCCGGTTACTAACCCGGTGCTCTACCAACTTGAGCTACGCCGGTATGTATGTATGTATGTATGTATGTATGTATGTATGTATGTATGTATGTATGTATGTATGTATGTATGTATGTATGTATGTATGTATGTATGTATGTATGTATGTATGTATGTATGTATGTATGTATGTATGTATGTATGTATGTATGTATGTATGTATGTATGTATGTATGTATGTATGTATGTATGTATGTATGTATGTATGTATGTATGTATGTATGTATGTATGTATGTATGTATGTATGTATGTATGTATGTATGTATGTATGTATGTATGTATGTATGTATGTATGTATGTATGTATGTAACTGTTACATATCTGCCGGGCCGACACTGGCCGGGGGCGCTAACCCGCCCACATACGGGAGACCGCCAAAGCACTCCTTTGTTGAGGAGGGGCGTACCACCTTGTCCGCACACTGCACCGGGAAGTGCTAACCGCTGCACCGTAATCGTCACAGGACAGCGTCCACCTGATTGTCCATGTGCCAGCTAAGCTAGCCCCAGGCGCCTACTGTCCTCAGTCCACCGAACGCATGCTCTACAGCTGCGTAATCTACCAGGGCACTCACACCGGTGCCATTGCCACCTCCTATATCCTTCGGAAGCCTGCCGCCGCCCGATCTTAGTTATCCAACCACCACCTGCTATGCAGTCTGGTCCAGGCCCTATGCAGACTCATTCCTCCACCACTGCTCTGCGGCAGCGTTGTAGTCTTCTTGGTGGCATCCCACTCCAGCCGCCCCGCGCACCAGAGGACACCATTGTCTCCAGCCTTCGACACCCCGATCTCTTTCACCCGGGGGACCAGCGGTGGGGTACGATCCCACGTCTTCCGGTTAAGTTAGTGCCGACTCTGGGGATCGAACTCCAGACCCGCCGGTTACTAACCCGGTGCTCTACCAACTTGAGCTACACTGGTATGTATGTATGTATGTATGTATGTATGTATGTATGTATGTATGTATGTATGTATGTATGTATGTATGTATGTATGTATGTATGTATGTATGTATGTATGTATGTATGTATGTATGTATGTATGTATGTATGTATGTATGTATGTATGTATGTATGTATGTATGTATGTATGTATGTATGTATGTATGTATGTATGTATGTATGTATGTATGTATGTATGTATGTATGTATGTATGTATGTATGTATGTATGTATGTATGTATGTATGTATGTATGTATGTATGTATGTATGTATGTATGTATGTATGTATGTATGTATGTATGTATGTATGTATGTATGTATGTATGTATGTATGTATGTATGTATGTATGTATGTATGTATGTATGTATGTATGTATGTATGTATGTATGTATGTATGTATGTATGTATGTATGTATGTATGTATGTATGTATGTATGTATGTATGTATGTATGTATGTATGTATGTATGTATGTATGTATGTATGTATGTATGTAACTGTTACATATCTGCCGGGCCGACACTGGCCGGGGGCGCTAACCCGCCCACATACGGGAGACCGCCAAAGCACTCCTTTGTTGAGGAGGGGCGTACCACCTTGTCCGCACACTGCACCGGGAAGTGCTAACCGCTGCACCGTAATCGTCACAGGACAGCGTCCACCTGATTGTCCATGTGCCAGCTAAGCTAGCCCCAGGCGCCTACTGTCCTCAGTCCACCGAACGCATGCTCTACAGCTGCGTAATCTACCAGGGCACTCACACCGGTGCCATTGCCACCTCCTATATCCTTCGGAAGCCTGCCGCCGCCCGATCTTAGTTATCCAACCACCACCTGCTATGCAGTCTGGTCCAGGCCCTATGCAGACTCATTCCTCCACCACTGCTCTGCGGCAGCGTTGTAGTCTTCTTGGTGGCATCCCACTCCAGCCGCCCCGCGCACCAGAGGACACCATTGTCTCCAGCCTTCGACACCCCGATCTCTTTCACCCGGGGGACCAGCGGTGGGGTACGATCCCACGTCTTCCGGTTAAGTTAGTGCCGACTCTGGGGATCGAACTCCAGACCCGCCAGTTACTAACCCGGTGCTCTACCAACTTGAGCTACGCTGGTATGTATGTATGTATGTATGTATGTATGTATGTATGTATGTATGTATGTATGTATGTATGTATGTATGTATGTATGTATGTATGTATGTATGTATGTATGTATGTATGTATGTATGTATGTATGTATGTATGTATGTATGTATGTATGTATGTATGTATGTATGTATGTATGTATGTATGTATGTATGTATGTATGTATGTATGTATGTATGTATGTATGTATGTATGTATGTATGTATGTATGTATGTATGTATGTATGTATGTATGTATGTATGTATGTATGTATGTATGTAACTGTTACATATCTGCCGGGCCGACACTGGCCGGGGGCGCTAACCCGCCCACATACGGGAGACCGCCAAAGCACTCCTTTGTTGAGGAGGGGCGTACCACCTTGTCCGCACACTGCACCGGGAAGTGCTAACCGCTGCACCGTAATCGTCACAGGACAGCGTCCACCTGATTGTCCATGTGCCAGCTAAGCTAGCCCCAGGCGCCTACTGTCCTCAGTCCACCGAACGCATGCTCTACAGCTGCGTAATCTACCAGGGCACTCACACCGGTGCCATTGCCACCTCCTATATCCTTCGGAAGCCTGCCGCCGCCCAATCTTAGTTATCCAACCACCACCTGCTATGCAGTCTGGTCCAGGCCCTATGCAGACTCATTCCTCCACCACTGCTCTGCGGCAGCATTGTAGTCTTCTTGGTGGCATCCCACTCCAGCCGCCCCGCGCACCAGAGGACACCATTGTCTCCAGCCTTCGACACCCCGATCTCTTTCACCCGGGGGACCAGCGGTGGGGTACGATCCCACGTCTTCCGGTTAAGTTAGTGCCGACTCTGGGGATCGAACTCCAGACCCGCCGGTTACTAACCCGGTGCTCTACCAACTTGAGCTACGCCGGTATGTATGTATGTATGTATGTATGTATGTATGTATGTATGTATGTATGTATGTATGTATGTATGTATGTATGTATGTATGTATGTATGTATGTATGTATGTATGTATGTATGTATGTATGTATGTATGTATGTATGTATGTATGTATGTATGTATGTATGTATGTATGTATGTATGTATGTATGTATGTATGTATGTATGTATGTATGTATGTATGTATGTATGTATGTATGTATGTATGTATGTATGTATGTATGTATGTATGTATGTATGTATGTATGTATGTATGTATGTATGTATGTATGTATGTATGTATGTATGTATGTATGTATGTATGTATGTATGTATGTATGTATGTATGTATGTATGTATGTATGTATGTATGTATGTATGTATGTATGTATGTATGTATGTATGTATGTATGTATGTATGTATGTATGTATGTATGTATGTATGTATGTATGTATGTATGTATGTATGTATGTATGTATGTATGTATGTATGTATGTATGTATGTATGTATGTATGTATGTATGTATGTATGTATGTATGTATGTATGTATGTATGTATGTATGTATGTATGTATGTATGTATGTATGTATGTATGTATGTATGTATGTATGTATGTATGTATGTATGTATGTATGTATGTATTTATGTATGTATGTATTTATGTATGTATGTATGTATGTATGTATGTATGTATGTATGTATGTATGTATGTATGTATGTATGTATGTATGTATGTATGTATGTATGTATGTATGTATGTATGTATGTATGTATGTATGTATGTATGTATGTATGTATGTATGTATGTATGTATGTATGTAACTGTTACATATCTGCCGGGCCGACACTGGCCGGGGGTGCTAACCCGCCCACATATGGGAGACCGCCAAAGCACTCCTTTGTTGAGGAGGGGCGTACCACCTTGTCC